TAAAAAGAAAACACAAAAGTAAAGAGGACATAGCAAATAACAGGGAATGCATAACATAGAATTTCAGAAACATAAAAAAGCATTCCGAAAACAGGAGCGATAACAATAACTAAATAAAGTGATGTTTAGTAGGAGTAACAATAATTGTACGGCATGCAACTATGAGAAAAATGCTACTACTATTGGCATATCTAAAAGTATGTTTGGAAACAAGTGAATAGAAGTATATAATTGGATATATGTCTATGTTATACAAGTTTAAGTGTCTACTTGTGCACAACCAAAGTCGGAGGGCATAAATGTGAAATGAGGCCAAGTTAAAAGTCATATTTATGTATTATGCTAATTTGAATTGATTCATAAATAGTAAATTAATAAAATTGTCCTTCGTATTTGTTATTTTTAAGGAGAAACAATTAATGTACTCCCTCTATTTCATACTCATATATATCATACATTCAAATATAGAATACATTAAAGCTATTGGTGGAATTATCCAAAGAGGATGAACCCCTTTAATAGAAAAATACTAATACAATTTATACATGATTAAAATTATTCTAAATATATATATAATACATATTGGATCATGTTGAATCTCTTTAAATTCTTCCTTATCTTATTTTCTGCATAAATACATGAGTCAGACAAAGTCATTTTAAGAGAACACAATTTTAGTGAAAAACTTCATAGAAGAAATTGCTCACTTCAGTGAAAAATATTCGACCATGTTTTTTTTTCTTGCTTTTCGGGATTGGATTCATCAGACTTTTCTATTTAAATTTCTTCTCTCATGGTATCATTTTATTTTTAATATAAATAATGATTCGATACTCCCAAATGAAATCACAACAAAGATTCTCTTAAGGCTTCCCACATAGTCTCTATTAAAATGTATGTCTGTTTCGAAATCATGGCATCAACTAATATCTAGCCCTCATTTTGTCAACACCCATCTCAAATCTAACGCAAATCATAGAGTTGTATTTCCAGGCAGTGAAAAAATACAAATTTTGTTCACTCCCTCACCTCTTTAACAAAGAACAACTCACTCAGGAGCTACTTCACATAGATCCACCCACTATATCATCTTTTTTTGTGGGTTCTGCCAATGGGCTGATTTTTATTTGCAATCACGAAAGGGAGATGTGTATATGGAATCCCACCATTAGCAAGTCAATGAAATTACTTAATTCTCCTTGGGGTACCTCTTTCAATACTAAATATGGTTTTGGATACGATGACTCACGTGATGATTATAAAGCTTTATTTATTGATCATTATCATGATTTTAACAATGGTGAGGTGTACAATGTGAGGATTGTCGTCACTATTTATAGTTTGAGGAATGATTCTTGGAAAACACTTCATGACCAGCTTAAGGGGATATTTCTAATAAATCATTCGGGTAAATTTGTCAATGGGATGCTTTATTGGATTGCATCCACGTGTATTGATGATGATGATGCACGCAACATCATTTCTTTTGATGTAGCAAACGAGACATGGGGAAGCTTGGAGATTCCCATTCGTGGAGAAGACCATTCTAATATCAAACTGGGAGTAGTGGGAAGTGACCTTGCTGTGCTTTATACTTGTCATATATGTGCTACTACTTCTGATGTTTGGATTTTGAAAGACTATAGAGGTAATATGTCATGGACGAAACGGTTCACCATCGAATACCCTAAATATGTTGTGCTATATATGTTTTCTTCACCCAATTTCACATTTTCTATACACCTTCGCCAGTCAAATAAGGAGGACATTATACTTTCGATTCGGGGATTAATCATATTATTTGATGGTTCAACTAAAAAACTAGAACATATTGCTGCTGTTGGGGGATACAATTCTGCAGAAACCTATGCAGAAAGCATCGTTAATCCCCTAACGATATCCGGTAAGAATTCTGCTTAGTTTTGTTGGTATGCTCTTTTTGCACTTTTTTTTCTATCAAATAGAGGACGAGACATTGAATATGTTTTTCTTGTAAGCATTTCTCCTTATTATTATACTAGTTTACAGATACGTGTGTTGCACGTAGTCCTCTATCGTCAATTATTATAGTACTGCTTGTATTCTAAAGCAATAAATCATTAACAATATACATGTTTCCAAATCATTTTTTTAAAATTATTGATGGATAAAAAATGTACAAAGATAATTTTTCATCAGAGATAGATCTCGATTTAGAAATAAGTTGATGTGGTCTACTACATCTTTCACCAATTTAGTGTGAGTGTGAGTATATATCCTTCAATCCTCGTGTAGGGAGAAGGGTTGTTCCGAATGATACTCGACTCAAGGAATGCACATTAAAGAAGTTAGAAGGAAAACATAGACGTGAAGAACACGGCAAATAACAAGGAAAGCATAGCATAGAGTAAGAAAACAAGAGTGATAACAAATATTTTCTTTATTTTCTCTTGAATTTTCTTGTTTAAATTCAGGGTTTCAATACGGCCTCATCTCACTACAAATATGCTTATTGTGAATCCACACATGGAGACACAATAACAAGAATATAGTATGCTAAGATTACTGAATTTTGATGAACTCGTAGGTGAAGTATAGTTCTACCCTTACCTCTATAACTACATCATGTTATTTATGATAAGAAGATCCACTCCTTGTTGATTATAATAAATGAGATTATTTTCTCAGTTTGTAATTTAATTTAATAAATGATATTTACACAACAATGTCAAATATGGGTCAGTTCAAGTTCTTTTCTTTTGTGCATATGCATACACTGCAGTTTTGTTTCTTTAATCTCGCGTTCTCATTCAAATTGTGAGTACTTTCATCACAATGTTTGTCACAGTAAAAAAAGATTCGACAATTAATTCACCAAAGAAGTAAAAACAAAGAAAAAAATTGTCACAAAAAGAAATTAACAGTTTAAGACAACAATTTACATCATCTAGCTTGAACTTTGAAGAAATAATATAAAACTCCGTGACTTTTATTACATGTAAAAAGTGACAACATAAAAGGAGGAATGCTTATAAGGCTACACACAATACAAGAAAATATGATTAGAGATTCATAGATATTCG